AAAGAAAATACTATCATTGGTCCCCCCAAAAATAAACGAAAAGGCAAGGCAAATCCATTATGCGATTCTTAACAAAAAGCATTTTTCATTCCTGCCACGAATAATGAATATTATTATCTGTTCCAAATGTCCTGAAAGTATGTATTTAATTTACCATCGAACTACTCAGAATAAGATGAGGTAGAAAGTAAAAACCACCTTTCGGTTGAACTCTGAATATGATATCGCTCAGCTTGCCAACTTCGGTCTCGGAGAGCAGAATCCAAAGATGAATTCATTTTAGTGGCACGTGAGAAATTTGATTTTGAAATAAAAAAGGTGTAGCGTATGCCTTCTGTAATCTTCTCCTTTTAAAGTTATATTATGAGAGAAAGATCTGGTACGATGAGGCAAATTCTCTTGGGTCAACCTAATCTACCCAAATACGGTGACTATTGCTTGACAAGCCTGTGAAGAGCACGCACATGCGCAGAATCACCCCAGCTCTGTGTTAACACCGCCGCCCAGGCGGCCAGATCCACAGGGAGCAAAATGGAGGCCTTCCCGCCTTGCTGGGCGGAACCGCTCTAGCAAAGGAAGCCAAAGGGGAAAAGAATGAAATAATGAAACAATAAACAGATTAGATTACTTTCGGCGTCCCTGAGGATGTTTATTTTAAACTTCATGCGTGGGGCGCCTGGGTGGCTCAGTCGGTTACTTCGGCTTAGGTCATGACCTCGCGGCACCTGAGTTCGAGCCCCGCAGTCGGGTTCTGTGCTGAGAGAGCTCAGAGCCCGGAGCCCGGAGCCTGCTTCAGATTCTGTCTCCCTCTCTCTCTCTCTCTGCCCCTCCCCCGCTCACACACTGTCCCTCTCTTTCTCTGTCTCTCTCTAATATAAACATTAAAAAAATTAATTAAACTTCATGTGCAATTTAATCAAATAAAAGAGTGGCATGAGAGAGCAGTGGTCAATTTCAGAAAGATTTTTCCCTCACCTACCTAGCCTATAATACTATATAACAATCATTCTCTACCCTATAATAATATTTTTTTAGTAAATTAACCAGCGTGCAGGGTGCATATGGTCATAATTTGCAAAACCGTTGCAAAAACTATTTTATCCCACAGTGTCTAAATGGGAAAAGAAAAACGTTCTAGACTTTTTGTTGAAGTCCTTTGTGCGGTACAAATTGCTTTGTATTGAGTGAACTTTCAGAATGGGAACAGGATTGACTTTGTCCGTGTCCCATTTCCCACACACAAGGTCCTGATGCTTTCTGCGGATCGGAGCACACACCATATGTTCCATGAGCACAGACCAGGTTACCCCGTGGAAGCTCAGAAGTCTTCCAGGGAATCATTGACTGGGTGCAACCTTAATTAACTAATTACCCGGGGGGAGGGAGGGGGGCGGCAGGGAAGCGGGGGGCAGGCAAAAACCCTGGGAAGCCAATCTAACCTTGTTATGTGAAACCTGAGTATTTGCAATGTTTTACGGATATCAAAAACTAAACTTTACACAAAACACTGTCCAAATACAAATTTGATATTGGGAAATCTTTCATAAATAGAAATCAAACAGCAATGTTCGTATCATGCTTTTCAGACTGGCTAAACACTCAGTTTATCACTGTGTCCTCCTCTGTGTGAAGCATGTGCACTGTTCCCACCGAATGACACAGATTTCAAAAAAATAAGTATGATTAATTAGATAAGATAAGTGACTGATGTAAAAAGTTCCTTCAGCAAGCTCTCTCTTTGGGCTTTTCCATGCGGTAAATGTTACAAAACCCTTTAGAGGCGATTTTTAAGAAATCCAGCTGGCTGGGCTTCTTTTTCATTTTTTAATTTCAAACAATTTTCGTTCTCTTTTGAAAATTTTAAGGAGTCCGGTCTAATAAAATATTTAAAAGAGAAAAAGAGGGAAATTATAACCGGTGTGCATGATACGTAAAGTTAATCTCAAGTGGAGAATATACCACGTGGAAAGTTGATATAAAGGAGCACTTGCAATAAAAATATTAACAACAGAAGTGCATGTAATAGAGGTACTGGTGAACTAGAAAAATATATTTCACTTTACAATCCAGCCAACTCATACAAATATATAAACACTAGCTTACGTCATCTCCCCCATCCCCCGCTCCGGTCTCATTTTTACTTGCTGTTTAAACATTAACTTCTGAGTCTCTCCAGCTGACAAGGCACACAGTTAGGCTTTGGCCACATCAAAACAACAATCATTCTAGTCAGAAGGAAAGACTGTGACCCTAACAGAACATCTCATTGAATGATACCTCTGTGAGATCCTGTCTGCCTTTGTCTCTCCTTTACAGTGTATTTTCTTTTTTTTTTTTTTTTTAATTTTTTTTTCAACGTTTATTTATTTTTGGGACAGAGAGAGACAGAGCATGAACGGGGGAGGGGCAGAGAGAGAGGGAGACACAGAATCGGAAACCGGCTCCAGGCTCTGAGCCATCAGCCCAGAGCCCGACGCGGGGCTCGAACTCACGGACCGCGAGATCGTGACCTGGCTGAAGTCGGACGCTTAACCGACTGTGCCACCCAGGCGCCCCTACAGTGTATTTTCTATGGGTGAGACCAAGTGGTTGTTTCTGCCCCTCATGGCTATGACCTTGAGGTCATATTTCTATGACCTCTCAATTTCTATCTGTAAACTGAGCACACTGGAGTTTCTAATCTGCAATTGCAGGACTTAGTTAGGGCTTTGGGCTTGCTGCAGGGATGGGGCAGCTCTCCCAGGGGCTGTGATCGTGAGATTAGAGACTCGGTTGCTCTGTCCCAGTCACCGACCTTGCTCTGCAGTCCTGCCATCTGCTCAGAGCCTCAGACCCGGACTCTCCTCAGCCACCATCGCCAAGGGGACTGACACCATCATGGCGTTGATGGCGCCTTCTGAAACAGGACACTGCCTCGGCCATAGGCTCCCTGAATCCCAGGTTTGGGCTACAATCCCTCCATCCAGTCTGGCTGCTCTATCCATTCGGGTCAGCCAGCCACACTGCACACTCACACCAGGGGGTGGGTTTTTCATTTTGTTTTTTGCACACACACACACACACACACACACACAACCCCCCAAATCAAAACAAAACAAAATCAAAACACAAACAAATAAAGCAAACAAAAAACCAAAAACTTCCCAAGAACTGGCTTCTAAACATCTCACTTCTAGAACCCAGGCGCTGGTCAGCCATGCACCAAATGTCCCCCCAAATGTGATTCTCCTCCTTCGGAAATTACACTGCTTTCCAGTTGTGCACACTTCCTAACTTTGTGCACAGTGGCGGTGCTTTCAGAGGAGAGGATCTGTCTCAGCTCTGGGGGGAGTGACTCTTTCCCTCCACCTGCATGCTTACTCCTCTGCTCGGGA